GGGGGGGGGGGGTTGACAGAGGCAGGAAGGAGCAGAAGTTCTCCCTTCATTTTGGACAGGTCCTGGTTCATCATTTTTTTTCAGTATTCCTAATAATTTGCACATGCTTCTGGAAATTATGAAAATGCTTTTTAATAAATAAATAATACATTAAGAGAGACATGCTATCAGGTTTGCTGCATAAAAAATGCATGTTCATCACAGGCATAGTCCCATACAACAGATTGCATTTGTCTGCCTATGAGGGATGTAGTTATGGCTGCCACCTTTCTGCCCTGATAATAATACTTCGCTTTTCCATACCATGGGCCTCTTATTCTGAAGATAAAATAGCAACCATGGCACACTGAGGGATGAAAGCTAGGAACTGTTTTCTCAGCCTGATGAAGGATGTTCTTCTATTTATTATTTATGTGGTGCAACCACATGTAAGATTTTCAAGCATGCACCAGGACCCCTTTGTGCTGGGAGCTGTACAAACAGAACAAAAAACTTACATTCACTATGGGTTTTTTTAATGCCTAACCTATATGGATCCTGAGCTAACACAAGTGTCTTGTGCAAACAAGACTCTTAATTCACCATCTCTTTGGCTGCCCTGGTCCCTTATGATTGTGCCATCATCAAACTAACTAGGAGCTTGAGCGAAATGGCAGGCAATTCATACGCAGGAAAAGATAGGTCTTCAAAAAGAATGAGTGGTTTGAGCTATTGTGCTTGGGCAACATTTCTGAGGTTGAAACCAACCCTACCCAAGTCTGGAAAATTACATCTGTTGGTGTGATGCATGCTCAGCCGACAGTCAGGTCTACTAGAGTCTTAAAAATGCACTCGCCACTGCAGTGTGACAGCTTTTCAGTCGGCAAAAGCTGCATAAGTTCTGATAAGAAACAAGGCACAGCTGTTTTACAGCAAGGGCAGTTCACTATTATGACTTATCAAGGTAGGGGGAGGGTTTTCTTTCACTTTAAGTCTTTAAATCAAGATGGGCTAAAACCATGTTCCTGTTCAGCTGCAAGATACAGGCTTGACAAAGCAATTACGATTGACAAAGTATCTGGCCTCCATTACTCAGGAATCAGATTAGAGGATCCTGATAGTCTTTGCTGATCTTAAAATGTATGAACCAAGCATTAAGTGATGTGACTCTCATGGAAAACTGCATCTTCATGTAATAGTGACAGGAAACATCCCATTCTGGAAGAGCCAGTGCTCCCTGGGTGCATCCAGGCTGCACTGCTGCCACTGCCAGAAGAGCAGGCCCAACAACGCCTGCCGCAAACCTAGAAGAGGATGATGAAGCCACACTGGAGTCTTCCCTTTGAAGCTGCTCTAAAACCTGCTGGGGAAAGTGGGTTTGCATGGGGCTGGGAGTGGGCATCCCCAGTACAGTTTTCACTGAACTTCTCCAGTTTGTAAGTGCAAGCAGTAGCAGGGCAGGGTGAGCAGGGCATGCTGTGAAGTTGGTGCCCCCAAAAGTGCAGACATGGCCTCTCGAGGTACAGTTAACTGGAAGAGGATGGATGAGGATGAAGATTGTTTCTGAGGTAGCCAGCCCTCTCCCATTGCTCCTCCGAGAATACAGTACATGCCGCAGGCAGGTGCATCACACAGTGGTGCTGTCCTGGGGAGCAGCCTTCACTAACTCCCCCAGGTACTCCAGGACCAACTCCCAGCAATGGCCTCTGTGTTTCTCCTCTTCCTGCTGACCTCTAAAACTCCACTCTCTGCTTTCTCTGAGCTTGCACTCTAAGCAGAAAGGGGCAGGAGAATAATTTAGATGCTGTTTTCCTCTGGGCTGAAAAGGAAAATCTTGATTTCCCCGTTGGAAAAACTTGATATATTTTCCATTGCAGAAAGGTAGATGTGGAGCCTGTAACATATGAGAAGAGGAGGTGCCATGCTGGCCGTGGTATGCTAATGCCACCTAATCCGGGAACTCCTTTAGCTTTTTTCCAGTCACTATTTCAAAAACATAGTCAAGGATAGTGAAGAAATATTCACAGGAGGGCGAATGTGCAGAAAGTTATATCAGCACTACCATGGAAATATCACACACACATTGCACAATTCATTCTCCCCCCAAATACAATCTTTCTCTTTCTACTCTCCCTCTCCCCCGTAGAGGCCCAAACTAAAGCTCTGCAGCTGAAAAAGCCACCAACTCAACTTCAGACCTAAACTCTGTAATCAGACACACAACCGCACATTACTCTTCCTATGTTTTCTAGGCTGTCTCTACCTGTAGCCTAAACCATCACTTGATGTATGATAGCTATGTGAAAATGAGTATTTACAGTGCCAGGGGATGTTTTCCCAGGATGATTACTTTCTGCAAGGGAAGCCATTGTGAGGTCATTCCTAAAATGCTTAGAAAAATGCATTCATCCGCAGAACTTCCTTCCTGCAGAATCCTTCCTAAGCTGTCCTGTGAGTTCATAAAAGAAAAGTGAACCTCGGTGAAGAGCTGCAAAAAGACTGGGGTGGGCTTAAAGGCTCCAAGAGATGGCACGATGGCTATAACGACTCTGTCAGGCCACTGGAACTGCACAGCTGCCAGCAGGACAGCCTGCCAAGGAGGGGTAGAGCAGGAAGGGCTCATCTTATGCTCTACTGGGCTTGTTCTTCTTCTCTTTTTTTGGTTTATTTGGAATATGCACCTGTAGAGCTGAGGCAAACAACAGAACTGCTCAGAAAGTTGTTTTCCCACCCACCCAATAAAAAAAAAACCCTTAAAATAAAAAAGAACTCACTTTCTTAAAATGTTTACAGAGTTTTACTGAAAAATAAGAAAACCCATTGGGTAGCGGGGTTCTTGCTTTTGAACAAAATGAGCCATTTTTTATGGAAAAATTCTATTTTGTCAAAAAGAAAACCCTGCTATTTTCTAATCAACACCTGCTTTGATAGAAACCTTTGGCCACTTCTGTTTAGGTGGTGTCAGCGCTAGTGCCCAGCCTGGTATGGGCTAAGTCTACAAACGCCAGCTTCCGCTGAAAGCCAGTGTCCTTATCAGTAGTCAGACATGTAACTTCCCCTTTTTCACAGTCCCAGTGAAAAACAACTCACCATCCTCATTTCATGTGCAAAACACTCACATATTGCATAGAAGAACCTCATACCCTCTCCCAGCTTTCCCCTTCCTGAGTCATTTCCTAATGTACAGGGCTACTGAATTAAATGAGATGGTGCTATTTTTTACCTAAACTAATATCCCATGCACCTGGATGCACAGAAGAGGCCATGATGGATTTCAGATACCTCCTCTTAGCCACGATAAAAAAATATCTCTTTGGGCTGCAACCCGAAGTAATAAATGGAAAAATGCATGCGGGCAAAAGCCTCGTAAAGCTACCAATCCTTACAGCAACAGCAACTTCAGCCCTTGTGCTACAGTAAAAAGAAAAATCACCCAACACCCCTAGTTGGCTGGTGTTCGCATGCCTGTTACAGCGGGTGAGGAAGTTTTCCCAAAGGAGAGCTGTCATTTCTTTGTCAGCAGTTTGAATCAGGCCCAGATCAGGAGACACCATTCAGTCTCGCAATATTTGCATTCCCGTAGTACATACGAGAGGCGAGGCTCAAGGCTTGCCTGCATGTGGAGGTCGGTGCGCAGTTAGGCAGGGTGTGGGTAGACAGCATCCTAGCTACACTGTGCTAGCCCTCCGTGGGGACACACAGGTGGCGTGGAAGGGCTGTGCACACCTGAGAGATGGATGTGGTGTGAAAATGGTATATACCACCTTCCACCTAGTGTTGCCCAAGGGTTTGTCTGTGTGACATAAGGCAGTGCCATACCCTGAGCTAGCTCTGTGTGTTGGCTCTGGAACCGGAAGCAGTACAGCTGCATTAACCGGCTGCTGTGTTGCGCCAGGATTGATTAGCGCATCGGTAGCTGAGGGATGCTCCGTGTGGCACTACCTTATGCCGTACAAAAACACACTCCAGGGGAACAGATAGTACATGTAAATTCACACCCTAATTGACTGGGCACTAACTTTCCTGTAGGGCAGACAAGCCCCAAGAGTTCTTTGAAGAATGAAGGTAAACCCTAATTAGTCACAAATTAAGGGACCAAAGCACAAAGAGAAACTAAGTGATGTCCCAGTGTTTAATCCTGTGCATTAGCCACGAGGCCAATACACCTCTTGCTCCACCCTCCTCACTGTCTGAGCCAGTTCAGCTACCTCCAGTTCCCAAAGGAGAGAGTCCTGGATTACGTGAACCTGCTTTGGCGATCCTACTAGAGAAGCCGCTCACCCTCTCCAAGAGGCCAGGCCTCAGGCACAAAGAAAGGCAGTCTGGAAAATCACCCTGTTATTGCCACCTCTTATGGACACAAACAGGACTTCAGTCTCGACAGCCACCGATCTTTTCACTAGCACTAAGTTGATGACCGGTACGGGACTAGTCGTGAAACAAGACGGACCCCAAGACCTCTGGATCTCAAAGCAAGAGTCTACCCTTGGAGCCAATGGCCCGCGCTTCTTAGCATGGAGGCATCAACCATTTAATGAACCGCTCCACACAGCCCAGTCACCAGATGCAGACAAAACCCTGGCACGCGGTGGGCCTGCTCTACAGCTCCACATGGGCCTCACCGCCTTGTCCTTGGCAGACTCTTCTTGGCTGTGGGGGAGGAAGGAGGTTTGGCCAGTGACCTACCTGCTCTCACTGGTTTCCTTCTTCTCTCTTATGCGCAGCCACTTCCGGAGCAAGAAGCGCTTGCGCCGTGGGGAGGCGCTGGGCGTTGAGCAGTTGGACCAGGGGGTGTCCTCGTCGCTCGAGGGGGTGATTTCGATGGAGGGAAGCTGCAGAAACTCTTTGCTGGGGGAGGGCGAATCCTGATACCTGCCAGCCTCCAGGCTCTGCTCCTGCACGTTCTTCATCCGCCTCATCTTGAGGCGCCTCCGGCGCAGGGTGGGGGTGGACGAGCTGGACCAGGCGCGGCCGCACTCCAACACCTGCTGCTCTGGGACTTGCAGTGCCGGGAGCTGGAGGGTCTCTGTCATATTGGCAGCTGGCATTAGATCCCCTTTCTCCTTCCGCTCCCACCCCCAGGCTGATTCTGTCTGACCTTAGTGCAAACCACACCACACAACTAAAGCTTGCCCTTCTCCTCCCTCACCCAGCTCAGCATGTTTCCTCTCCCCTCAAGTCAGAAAACTTGATTCCTCAAGTGCTTTCATTTAACGGGCAGGGGATTCAGGCCCTGGGCATGCCACGAGCAAAGCTAGTTTCAAGTTTTTCTTTTGTTTCCCTGGCCCCTTCCTCTCTGAGAAACAACTTCTCTCCCCTGCCTGGTCTCTCAGGGCAGCAAGCTTAGCATCAGAGCGAGGGGTTGCCGGCGACGGCTGGGCTCGCGTTTGGCTTTTTTCATTCCACTGCCAGTGCTTTCTCTCCTCTGTGCCTAAGGTTGCCTCAGTGAAAAGTCTCCTGGAGCTGGGCTGGAAAATTCAGCTGTGCATCTTCTGGAGAGACCGAGCAAGTGGGGAGCGGCGTGGAGCTGTGAGGAGGTCAGAGAGAGAGAAAGAGAGGGAGGAAGCAATGACAGTAGATAAAATCAGGAGTCCGCGGCAGAGGCAGAGGAGGAGGAGGAGGGTGTTCGCTTTCTGTAGCCGATCAGACATGCACAGGCAGCTGCTGCAAATGTAACCGCACTCCCGGTCCCAAGGGATGGGGTCTGTATTACCAAATACACCGCGGCTGCAAATCAGGCTCATGAAAATGGATAAAGAGAGGAAAATAACTTTTCAGACAAGCTGATTGGCCAGGCTCCCCCACGTCCCACCTTCCTGCTTGGACGTCCCACCCGGCAGAGGGAGGGGAAGGAGCTGGCCAGGAGTGCCAACCTTACTGTGTGATCAATGTGCTTATGCTTGCCTCTTTCAAAAGCACGGGCAGGAGGGAGGAGAGGGGAGGGCGAGAAGAGCAATAGAAAGGTGGCAGCGGCAGGTGGCACTGAACCTGGGGCCTGGCTGGCTTGTTTAGCTGGGGCTGTGTGTCAGGGAGAGCTGACAAAAGAGAGGCTGCTTCCAAAATGACACACACCACGATACATGGTCTCAGGTTTTGGAACCAACAAAGACACCACACAGAGACAATCAGACATGCAGGACAGGCCTAACAGCGAGAGCAAGCCCTAAGACACACGGACTGCCCTGAGCAGAGAGCGAGGTCTCTACCGAGGATTACGCACCTGGGGGTGAGATGGGCAGATGGGGAGCTTCACAAAACGTCAGCAATGAAACCAGGATGTACCGTGGCAGTCCAGTTCCCCATTCAGCTCATCGAGGTTTTGCCAAAGGGTTTTGAGCAAGGCGGCAGTAAGCCACGGCATCACGTGAAAACCGTACACTCAGTAGGCTCAGCTGTGGGCGTGCTTGGGATTCACACCACAGAGGTGTGAGCAGTTCCAACAAACCAAATAATAAAATAATCATCACTTTTTGGTTCAACCTACAACAAAGTGTTTGTCGGTATTTCCAGAGAAGTGAAAAGTTGAAAACGTTCGTTCCAGGTCAAGTGCCACATCCAGGCCAGAATGAGACAGCTGGTTTCTCTGGAGCTTTCTTTCAAGTTTTTGAAAAATTCAAGCACAGCGGATTTCAAAATAACTGTGGTTTCCAATAAAGTAAATGTTTCACTTAGAAAATGTTGACAGCAAAAACATGTCACTGGGCTGGAATACAGACTGCATTCATATCACCTGACAGATCCCATTCAGTGGGATGGGAAACCACAGGCGAAGATCTTTGATTTCTGCATCTGGATTTTACAAGTTGGGGTTTGCTTGAATCTGTTAGGATGCAACAAGTGAGACCATTCATGGGAACAGTGAGTGCAGACACTTGTAAGAGGAAGATGTGTGTTAGTGGGAGTGTGGGAGGCAGGGGAAGGGAAAAAAAGATGTTTGCTGGTGCTAAAAAGCCTCTTAGACCTATGGGCTGGTATCTTGACATTACTTTCTTACAATACAGTCTTCCTTTAGTCATTGCTCCTTCTGATGGTTGAGAGTTTGACTAGGAGTTTATGTGAATTCTGTATTTACCCATGGGATCTAACTTACACACACACTCACACCCACACACTCAAAAGGCCTTCAATAAACACCCATATCTCAAAAAATATCATAAAACCAGCTATTTCAAGTAAGAAAAACATTGGGCTTACAGAGTAAACAAGAGAATAAAAGGTTTGTTGTTTCCTTCCTGGCACAAGCAGCCACACACTACAGCTTCTTACACAGATTAACTGATACCTTCACTTTTTCTTTCGGGAAAACAGAGAAACCTGAACTAAGAGCTAACCGAGAAGTGCAGTGACCTGCTGTAATAACTCCCCGAAAGTCACCTTGCATTCAGCAGCCACCTGTGTCACGTGTTCTTGGTCACCTGTTGAAACTCACAGAAAATTCATCCTGAACACCCTACTAAAATATCTTGAAACCCAAAGCTTGCAATACAGACCCAAGGGTGCTGTATGCAAGTGAGGCCTGCAGCTCAGCTTTAGTCTGTATTATTTCATAGTGCTTCATTCAGCAAGGAACTGGGGTGGGTGGAGGGACATGCATGAGAATTTTATTCCCAAAATTTTGCTTTTGGCCTAAGCTCCAGAGCCCTCTGTGCCTACTTCTTATGTACGGCAGTGTGCAAATGAGCATGCTGTTTGGCAGCCATCATTAACAGGTTTTGTGCTGTACGAATCAGTAGGTCAGATTCCCTCGGAAATCTTTTGAGAGATGTACAAGGGTCTCTTCTCTGGATATTGCCTTAGGGACAGGAAGCCTGGGTCAAGAAATCCCAGGGGTGGAAACTGCTTCATTTCCACCCTTCTTATACTCTCCCACTTCAACAACAAATTGTACCGAGCACTTTACAGCTTCAAAACACTGCACAAACATTATCTAATTAATCAGCAAGAGACTTGGGCTACCAGTGCTCAGGGCAATTATGTGATCAGCTGGAAATGACTGCTTATTATTTCTTTGGGCAGGAAGAACCCCCTTCACGCGTCTGCACAGGCAGAGAAGCAGCTCCCCCCTCACCGCAAGGATTCAGATCAGCCTACAGCTCTCTCCGGGTGACTAGCAAGATTTGTCCTGGCACAACACCCGGTTCTCTCCCCACCAAAATCCCTCTAAACATGATACCGGATCCTTTGCCGTGTGACAAAGATTCCTTGAACACAACTCTCCTCCCTTCAGGCCAGGAGAATCTCCTTGCCAGGGAGCTATGACCGGTGGACTATATAGGGACTATCCCTTTAACGCTAAGCTGCTCACTGATTGCTAAGCATCACTTATTTATGTTCAAAGATTCCCAGTCATTTTTATTTTAGACAGGCGACACTGGACACCTGTTTGATGCTCTCTGAAAAGTAGAGGTTACGTAACAAGACAGACAGCTCAAACTGCTGCATCCGTGGCGTGAACTTGTACCAGCCACAAGCTGAAATTCTTGCTGTACAAAACACAAGGCAAGAAAATATTGCTCCCTAAAGAGACTGCCTTGGCAGTGCTAGCTCCCTGGTCAGTGATGGGTTATGTTGGGAGTGTTGCCTGATACCAGAGAGGATTCACTGTTTCCCAAAGCACGGGAAACAGTGCTTTCTGTTTGGTGTAGTGCAGAGCAGTATAGCACAGCGCTGAGAACCTTAACTACCAACCAGAACATGGGGCTGAATTTTTTTTTTCTGCAGACCGGCATCAATACTGGGGACAAGTGCATTCACTTTGGCTAAGTTTGAACCATTTCTTGGCCTGACTCCTGCTCAAACACTCCAGGGTTTGCAACATGCTTAAGAGAAACTGGGGTAACAGAAGCAAAGAGGGAAGAGGAAAACATTTTACTGAGGTCCTCCTGGCCGGTGTGTGCAGGCTAGGTCTTCCACTTCTCCTAAACAAACATTCTTGCTAAGGGAGGAAAGCAGAAAGACACGGACATAAAATACAAGAAAAAATAGTCTGCGGATTCAGACTCAGTTTGCAAATACACAAAACTCCCCAAACCAGTTCAGAAGCTTAGCAAACCCTTCCTGTGCAGAAGGTCTGTTCTTCCCATGCTTTGGGACATAGTTTGGTTAAGACAAGGAGACTAGTCATAGTTTTCAGGTCAAGCCCGTCTTTTACCTCCCCACCAAGTTTCTAAAAAGTTTAGCTTGTTGAACAGTTCCCTCCTGTGCATGCACCTCAAACGCTGCAATTTTCACACCCGCCTGGGAATGCTGTCCTGCCTCAAAATTCATTCTTGCCAGAACATATTTTGAAATCCAAAATTCGGCCCCCCACCCCACACTGGGCGGTTTTCGATATGGACGTGCACAGCACTGTTGTGAACATGAAATAAAAAATAATAGAAAATTCATTCAAAAAATATTTTGCACATATCAGGATCCCACTAGGCTCGTTCTTCTGTACAAAAGCCCAGCAATAGCTTTCAGCCTTGAAATGCTCCTTTAAAAATGAAACTTCTGAACTCCTTCCATCTACTGAACCTAGTAGTGCCTTTATTTTCAGCTGCAGTTAGCATTTGGGATCTGATTTCCTGTGCACACAGACACAGGTCCTGATTCAGGAGATGGAGGTTCTGGTCCCCATTCTGCAGCAGATAACCAGGGTCACCTTGGGCAAGCCACAAATTGTTTCTGTGCCTTAATTTCCTCACTTGGAAAAAAAAAAGAAGGGAGAATGCTACTTCCTGCCCTCTAAATGACACAGGAGCCTTCCTCATCTGGCAAACAATTCCTGGACAAGTCCAATTCTTGTCTCATGCCATAAAACTCTTCCCCTGTGAAACATGAAGGATGATGAAAGGTAAATTCCTTAATAAATATGAAGCACCCAAATGCTACACTGATTATAACAAAAAAGGCAATTAAGTAATAATTGTAAGTAATAATTGCAAGTAAGCAATTATTGATGGGTTGTTATGAGCTGTCCATTCTTGTTTGCTTTCGTTCCCATAAAAAGATATGCTCTACCCCTTTAAAGCACGTAGTAGCAAACAACAGTTGCTCCCACTTGAGCACAGAGCCCGTTTTATTTTGGTTATAGGATACCGGACACCCACATGTGTCATTCTCCGTAACCCAGAGCCTGTGTTATGAGACAGACTCCACAAACTTCACAGGCCGTGGGGTGAGAAATACCAGTCACAGGCTGAAATTCTTAGTGTGTCACAAAGCATGATGGAAACCTATCTGCCGCCCCATATCCCCGCTCTGTCTTGCTTGCGACCGCATTTATCCCACTGCTTTTGACATGTCCTGATCCTGAGACACCTTGCACTTGCATTGGTCATGAGAACTTCAGAAAAGTAGCACCTCTCTGGATTGGGCTAAATCTGATGTGAAATCTCATCCCAAACCAACGCCATGAAGCAAGGAAGGAATACCGGCAAGTGTCATAACAAATGTAGTCTTGGCCACATGTTCAGACAGCAGGGTGGGTTTTCATTAGTCCCTGATCAAAGCTAATAAACACATATTCAATTATGTCTCCAGCCA